ATAAACATTTATAAAATATAAATTTATTAAATTCAAAAGTCTCGATAAGAAATTCTCAAAAAGTTCATCGATTGTCGTTTTTTTGCCGCGACTCCGTCCGCGTAGTAGTCGGAAATAACATTTTTAATCCAATAACCTAACATTGAATGTTATCATTTCAAGATGTTTCCGGCTAAGATTTCTTTTGCGTATTAATGTATTTCATTTAACCGTTTAGTGGCGGTGTAAAATTATCCACTACCCCATATCATCCCGAGGGTGTCATAAGAGGCGACAGAGGGAGCTGATGTAGGAAGTGGGGTGCAGCGTCTTCTTAATAACAGCTAAATAAAAATGATACCGAAGTGTATTTTGTTCCAACTACTTGCCGTGGCAACTATGACAAATATATTACCTATGAGGCAGTCTACGAGAGAGACGTATTTTCAGCAGAGGACTTTGGACGGGATGTAATGGTAATGCATTTCATTGTGGATCATCCAAAGTGTAAGTGGAAACTTTTGGTAAGACAACTTAGTTGATTAACTGCTTCAGTCATTTGTAATATGATTGACATGCCCATTGTCCACAGAACAACAAAAGGAGCAGTAAGTAATAATTTTATGGCATTTTATTAGAAAATTATTTGATTTTTTTTTGACTGTCTGTCTCTGTCAGTCCGGACTAATCTTCATAATGGATGAACCGATTGTGAGGAAACTTTGAACAGATAGAGAGCAATACCAGTAGTAATCCCAAAAAAAAAATACGACTTTTTTTTCAAAAATAAGATTTTTTTTAAATTAAATAGTTTTTGATTATCTTAAATGTAAGTAACACATTGTTAGATCATGTCGCTAGTCATAGGTAAAATCATTTCCTTTTATATATTAGTTATTGGTGTTATACATAGAATGAGACAAAAAGACCAATTGTCAAATGAAAGAACTTCACAATAAGACTTATAACAAGCAAACACTTGTTAATCCCATTTTAACTTTTAACAATGTCACGTAAAATCGCCTCTTTGAAACGACTTTTAACGAAAAATTACCCAAGATATGTACGTATGTATTGTGTGCTTATTTTTATTTTTCCTCGATTTCTTTTTCGTCAGGCGGTATACGAGTAAGTATAGTTGTAATATTATAACTTGATTATCAAAGCGATACGTTTAGATAAGCATTTTGTTTGGCAACACATAGCAAGTAACATGCGTGAGCTTTATTATTTATTTATTTTCACATTCATTTTGTCTTAATTTTAATTTTATTTTGATAATAATAGTATTTTATGGCAGCGTATGTGTATTGTCTGCTATCTTCTCTAATCACTGTAGTGTAACACAGGCTCGACACGCACTTAACTAAACACGTCCACTCTCGCCCGAGGCTCTCGTGTAACTGACGCGGTGCGCTTGAGACAGTGACTTTTATATATATGCAAACACTGCATCATGTAAAATACTTGTAAGACAAATAACTATATAATAATCATTAATTCTGCTGCATTAATGACAGAGTTACAGATGATAACACAATAATTTCATGACTGTGGTTTAGTATTCTTATTAGGATCCTCATAACTATATAATGATCAATTTTTTTTAATTGATTTTGTTGATTACTCTTTACTTATTACCGCTGGGACCAATGAAGTTGTTAAATGCAATTTTAAGTGCTGATTTACCACGTACCCGACGGTGAAGGAAAACATCGTGACGAAACCTGCATGTCTTATAAATAAGAAAAATATGTATATTTCTAAGATATTTAAAGTTCACCAACATGCATTGGTGCAGCGTTGCAGACATTTCCTTGCTCTAAAACCCACTCAGAAATGAGAGGATGCTTGTTCCCAACAGTGGGACGAATATAGGCTGTAACTTTAACTTTTAACTTTAATAAAGATTACAGGAATTCCTATTGAAAGTCATTTATGCTTTTAAAAATAGTTGGGAAAAAAACCTCTGTTCTAGGAGGAAATACCTAGAAACCCAGCGGGACTATATATTTAAACACAAATTAACAATATAATATGTTGTAAAATTAAATATGAAAATCTCATTCCCATCGAAGTTATTTAGAATTCAGTTTTCACCCACATAAAGACGTCTGAGTAATAAATCATGCAGGTGTATTATGAACTGACGACAATACAATAATTTGATGACCATTACATAGAAATGTCCTCCACACCGAATTTCTATTACGGTGGCCAGTCTCAACGGAGACTAGCCATCTGCGCAGGGCAGAATTATACTCGTAGTGCACGAGTATGCACGCAAGCACAGGTGCACTCAAAATTTTCTCACTCTCATATTTCAATGGGCGGTAATCTGACATGACCGGAGAGATCAGGCGCAGGAGAAACGCCTTTGCGTACTTTTCGAGGCATGAGGATAAAGCATCGCCAACTTCTTTACTCCGGGCTGTTACTAAGAATTATTTTTTGACAGTAAAACGCAATAACTGATTTTAGTCCGATCTGGGATTTGAACCCGGTACCTCATGATCAGCAGTCACGCTTACGGACACTTATAGTACGGCAGTCTTGATATAGTCTTCCCACTAAGATCTCGGTTCATCACAGCTTTCTTTCAAAACGCTCTGTTCAAGTTTTTTAAACTCTTATATCATTTTAGTGAGTTCGTTGGTTCATCAATCAGCTATTAGTGATCGAGTAACTCTTAAAGGTCTTCCCCAATTTAGGCTGAATTCGCACAATATATTTATTTTATCGAGATGATTGTTCATAGTTATGCTTAGGACCTGATAGGTGGCACTGTAGTCAAATTATTAAAAAAATTGTGCGTATAATTGTGTACACACGTACTAAATGAATCTTCTTTATGACATATCTTAAATAGTATGCTCGTGCAACCCTAGCGGTGTAACGATATAAAAAAAACGTGATGTTTTTGATTTTAATACCGTACCTCCACTACGTTGATAAAGAAGTTTCACTTCAAAAATTCTATATAAAAAGATAATCATAAATTCTAGACCCGGAAGGTTCCGTGGTCGAGTTATGAAATAACATTTACATATAATATGTTCAATATAAAAAGTGAATTCGGAGTGAAATTTGGAGGAAAGTGGTAATTACTTTGATTAACTAAGTTTTTTTTTGAAAAGCAATTATCTAAACAAAAATGTAAACGCCATATAAACAAAACAAATGCTAAACTAATTACTATCCAGAAAATGATTTTTTTATTTGATTTATTGATTCCCATTTTTTTGACAAAAGTTTACGAAAGCTTTCTTCATGCCTTCATACATTCTTTACCAAAATCAATTTCGGAAACTTGTATCAGTCTATTACGCGTATTATTTCTTGTAAAAGTATTATATAAAGTTGATAAATAAAATAATTTTCTATTCTATAAACTCTGCAAGACACTGACTGACTGCATAAACTGCAGAAGCTTTAAAAAATATTTTACTTTTATAAGTTATTTGAAGCCGGCTCTTAATTATATATTATATTATAAGAAATTTTAATTATTTGACGTGTTTATAATAAAATAATAATAAATTTTTAGTTACCAGAGATATTTTTTTTCATAAAATTTAAGTTACAAACGAACATATAGTCCAACTGATGGTAAGTGGCAACAGAAGCTCTTGGACACATCCTACCTACTTCTAACAAAGATGGCTACAGATGCAATATAACCTCTGAGGGAAAATATGGAATACCATTACAGACTAATGTTAATATATATCAAATTTGTCCACTTTTGTCCGCAGCACGGACATACCTGCTACTTTTCAAACCAGAACATAGCAGTTAATCTGTTGCATAGCGGAAGAAATAGACTATTTTTATACGTGGTAGAGCTATGTTGCAGCTATATTAATAGTATAGTTGTAGCACGAATGGGTCGGCTCGACCGGGGAAGGACCACGCTCTCACAGAATACCAGCGTAAAATAGCAGCTTAATGCTGCTGTGTTTCGTATGGTGAGTATAGAGAACCGGAGATCCTTTTTACTGGAAAGGAGGCATTCCATCTTAGTCCTCAGGGCTGACAGCGCATCTGCAATTTAATTCTTTATTGAGGATTGATGCAGATGTCTATGGGCCACACCAACCGCTTGCCATCGGGTGGACTGTGTGCTCGTTTGTCACCCTTATTCTATTTAAAAAAAAGACAAGATAGTGTTACTAACAAAAACGGACTCCTACGCGAAGTTAACTCTACCATCTTATAACGCAGATAAAGATATTTCAAATAAAAAGTAATCGGAGAAAATCGTGGTTCGCTCACGGTGTTTATATACTTCATGCTACAGTCTGAGGTTACAGTTTTATATATATAACATTTCACGTGAGTACTTGTCAAAAATGAAACCTAAATAAAACTGGAATCATATTTTATTTGATTTTAATAAAACTGAAATCATATTTACATTATCATATTTAATTTTATTTGGGTATTTATAAAGTTTTGAGGTATTTATATCGATTAGTGGGGATGTATTATAAATAAATTAATATAAAAACAAAATGAGAGTAAACAATTACAATTAAACATAGTATATTAAGTACTTCTGAGGGGGTTTAAACCAATTAAGCTGACGCACTACTCTAGTGTGTGATGGTTGTGGGTGGTTTGAATACTTATATTTTGTTTTGCATGTGGGGCATAAAATAAAATCAGTCTCAACTCAACCACGGTCTTTTATTAACGTGTCCCAAATCATAAAACATAACATGGCGCAGTCGGTAGGAGGTTAGCAAAGAAATAATAGTGTTAATCGTAAAAGTAATTAGATGAACAGTATCGGCGGAAAAAGTGAAAGTAAAATAATTAAGGAATTTTCGGATGTTTTCGTTGGTATGGGATGTTTGCCTGTCGAGTACAAAATACGACTTAGACCGGATATTAAGCCAGCCAATACCAGTAGTGCATCCCCCGAGAAAACTGCCAATAGCTCTAAAAAATAAATTAATGGAAATTCAAAATGGGGTATAATTGCAAAAGTAGAGCGGCCGACCGACTGGGTTAATAGCATGACGGTCGTCAAGAAGCCTAATGGGGATATTCGTATCTGCCTTGACACCGGGCACCTTAATAAGGCAATTAGACGTCAACATTTGAAATTGCCTACCTTGCAAGAAATAACTGATAATCTGCCAGGGGCAAAATACTTCAGCACTCTTGGTGCAAAACAAAGTTTTTGGCAAATAAAGCTTCATGAGTCTAGTACAGACCTGTGTACGTTCAGCACAGTATTCGGCAAGTTTAAATTTTTGCGCATGACCTATGGTACATCTTCGGAATCAGAAATATTTCACAAAAAGTTGTATGAACACTATGCAGACATCGAGGGGGTTATTCTATTCGTCGATGATTTATTAGTCTATGCAAAAACTAAAAAAGCACACGATGAAATACGTCGTTCGGTATTACAAAGATGCCGCGAAATTAATATTGAGTTAAATTTAAATAAACGCAATATCGTTTTGTCAAAACTTAAATATTGGAGCCACAGAATATCGACTGATGGAATATTTGCAGACGATTTGCACATCCTAGCTATTAAGAAAATGCCATCGCCAACTACGGTAAAAGAGGTTGAATGGTTTTTAGGTTTAGTGGCATACGGTAGTAATTATATACCTAAGTTTTCAGTAAAATCTTTCAAATTGCGCGAGTTATTAAAGAAGGAAGTAGCTTGGCATTAGGACATTAGTAATGCACAGGTTTTAAAATATTAGAGTTTGGAAAAACCAGTTAAAATTTCAGTTGATGCTAGTAAAAATTGTTGGGGAGCCTGCCTGATGCAAGACGATTTACCGGTGTGTTATGCATCTAAATCGCTGACAAAGACTGAGCAGTCGTACGCACAGATTGAAAAGGAGTTGTATGCATGTGTTTGCATGTGAAAAGTTTTACATGTGCATTTATTTGCCACACGGATGTTACAATAGAAACGGACCATAAACCGCTTGTCAGGATTAGTAATAAACCTTTAGCGAACACGCCTGCGAGGTTGCAACGAATGCTTAAACGTTTCCAACCGTACGAGTTTAAGTTAGCTTATCTGATATCTGTTCATAGCAGACGCGCTGTCGAGGGCAGTGGCATCTAGCTCGGGAGATGGTGACAGAAAATAGTCTCCCATTTTTTCCTGCATGCCTTTTTAACAATTGATAACTTACCCTAAAATATGAAAGATAGAGGGGTTACGAGCCCTTGCGCGCTTGCACGTCATAAAGAAAATGGCTTCTCTTTGTGTAAAGAATTTTAGTATTTTTCCGTGACATTATATTGCATGCCTTTGTAATATAACGTAGTTGGAACAAATTTAAGCTATAATAATTGATAGCATGCAATTCGCAAAGGCCGACGGGGCTCAAAGGGTTACGTAGAAATGAAAAAAAAATAGAACATTTCCGTGTTTACAAATTGCATGTTTGCAGTTTTTTTTATCTCATAAATACTCTACGAAAATTGGCATGCACCCAAAGTATGACCAAGGGTGGAAAATATTAGGAAAATGTTGTGAAAATTCAATACAAATTTTCCGTGATTTTTCCGAGTTCTTTCCGATCGGCTCGATACACTGGCACTACGTAGAGATGTTGCATCTCTTTGCGTATTTTATTGCATCTATCACGGGGAGTGCTCTGAGAAATTGTTCGGACTAATTCCAGCCGCTCAATTTCACCATCGCACGTCGCGACAAAACTCGCGTTACCATCCATACCATCTGGATGATTGGCGGTCCACCACTGTGCGATTTAGAAGAAGTTTTCTCCCTCGCATAACTTCTTTGTGGAATCAATTACCACCAGCGAATTTTCCGAACCGATACGACTTAGGAACCTTTAAGAAAAGAGCTTACACCTTTCTAAAAGATCGGCAACGCATCTGCAATTCCCCTGGTGTTGCGGTTGTTCATGGGCGGCAGTAGTCACTTACCATCAGGTGAGCCGCATGCTCGTTTGCCCCCTATTCTATAAAAAAAAAAAACTACACAAGTATGTACACTTACGTTACCGTAAGCAATCTAATGACTGACTCGCACTTCTTATGAATACAGAAACGTACGGCAGGGGATTTAGAAATGCAAGAATTAATTAAAATAATAAATCGTGGTTGGCCCTGTCACTGAAGCGATGTAGTGGATATTATTAGACCTTTCTGGGATTGTAGGGATGAGTTATCAATCAATTTTGGCATAGTATGGAGAGGTAATAGGGCTGTGATACTAAAATTTATGAGATATGACACGATAAAAAAGATCCATATAGGTCATTTAGGGATTGAGAAATGCAAACTCAGAGCTCGAGAGATTATGTATTGGCTTAACATGAATTCCCAGCTTGAATATTACCTGTCGCATTGTCAAGCATGTTTAACTTTCACTTTGGAACAAAATTATTTATTTTAATTGTAGACTACTGTAGTAAATTTATAGAGGTAATAAGGATTAATTGCTTAAAATTGGAAATTATTATTGAAAACATCAAACAAGTGTTTACACGATATACCAGAGATAGTGATGACCGATAATGGCTCCGAGTTCGCATGTAAGATTTTTCGTGAATTCTCACCTGAATGGAAATTTCAGCATGTGACGTCATCGCCTAGATATCTTCAGTCCAATGGCCAAGTCGAGCGAGCGATACAGACAATAAAATATAATGAGAAAAACGGCATACGATCAAGCGGAGTTTTCATTAGCGTTACCGGAATATCTAAACACTCTGATTAATAATAAATTAGGCAGTCCAGCAGAGTTGCTACATAATAGAAAACTCCGCAGTATAGTCTCGTGCTCGCCAAAGTTATTGCTACCGAAAATTAACGACTACGTAGTAGACATAATATTACGAGTACATCGCCGGCAACGAAGGCAAAAATTGTACTATGACAAATGTTCTCGAAATTTAAAACCTCTAGTAATTGGACAAAAAGTCAACGTTCGAATGCACGGAAAGTGGACATCTGGTTCAATAAAAAATATTCTAGGCCCTAGATGATATTTAATAAAGATTACATCTGGAAATGTTTTAAGGCGGAATAGAAGGCACTAAGGCTGATTCCGGTCGGAGAACACTGAATCTAACTTGTATAGTACCTACACAAAATGACGATATAGTTGTAACAGGTGCTTGTAACCTGAGTAATGTGAAATGTATAGATTATTATAGTCTGTAATATAGTTGTAGCACGAATGGGTCAGCTCGACCTAGGAAGGACCACGCTCTCACAGAATACAGGCGTAAAATAGCAGCTTAATGCTGCTGTGTTTCGTATGATGAGTTTAGAGAACCGGAGACCCATTTTACTGGAAAAAAAGCATTCTATCTAAGTCGTCAAGGCCGACAACGCAACTGCATTTTAATACGCAAACGAAGATAGATGCAGATGTCTATGGGCCACAGCAACGACTTACCATCAGGTGGACTGTGTGCTCGTTTGTCACCCTAATTCTTTAAAAAAAACTACACTACGCAATACTAAAATATTTACTATAATGTTAACTGTCAAAATGGCGTCGATAAAGCAGCGCTCTTTTGACTCTTTATTATTTGATTGACTGACGAAAAGCTATCGTATGACAAAGCCATCTATGTGAACAATGGTATAGTTTATGAGTTATAAGAAAGTGCACATCATAACGGGATGACCATATTACCCTCACGTTCTATACATATTTATTTTTTATCTGACGATTGATTTAACTACGCTTGATTCCAATAGGTGGCTCTGTAAGCAAGTTTTAAAATATCTGTATTTTATAGAATTGATTGGTAAGGATAATATGTTTAGGCCGTGGAAGAAAAAGGGGAGATCTTCCGCCGGGATGTTCAGTCCTGGGAGCGGCTAATGATCCATATGTAAGGTGTGTTACTACAGAGCTGTTCGAAATATACAGTGCTGAACATTGGAACTTTGATAGCGCGATTTAGGCTTCAGTGTGTTTCCCTTGTGGCGCGACGACAGTGCCGCCACATGTTTATGTATCCATTTATATCATTAATTTTTAATTGCAATAATACATTTTACGGGTTTTGTGTATTCGATATGTAAATAAATAGTATCCTACAGTAATCTTGTCTATAAAATAGTTCCCGATATTCTAGATAACGATGTTAAATCACCGGGACAAGGTATCGTTGTTCTCAGCCGAGCGTTAAGACTCGATAGAGTAGAAAATATTGTAAGTGGAGAAGGCACATCATGTGGGATAAATAAAAGTATATTTATTTGTTAAATGGCAAATTAATTGCATAATTTTTTAATAACATTTAAATTTTTTTTTTCTTATTATAAACACTTCCATTAGGAAAAGGGCACATCATTAGGAATAATAAATAAATACGGTTGACCCTACAGGCCAGCCCTAGAACTTCCCGCTAATTTCAAATGCAAAACGCTCCAAATTCTATCTAACAGGAGAGCTCAAAAATGTTATTTATTACATCAAAAACAATCAGAGACAAAATTAAAAAGTTAACGATTTCTCTTCAACGCACCAAGCTATTTTAATGCAAATTGCAGCAATCGGCGGCATTCTTGGAGTTTAAGAGCCAATTAGATTTTGGAATTGATTGTTGCATTTGTTTAAAAGTTATTTCAAAAAAAATTTTTTCACGCATGCATGCACGCAAGCACGCACGCACGCAGGCACGCACGCACGCACGCACGCTCGTTCGCACGCACGCACGCACGCACATACGCACGCATGCACGCATGCACGCACGCATATACGCACGCACGCACACACACATGCACGCACGCACGCACGCACGCACGCATGTACGTCCGAAAGCACGCACGCTCGCATGCAGCACGCACGTACGCACGCAGGCACGCATACACGCACGCACGCACGTCCGAAAGCACGCACGCTCGCACGCACGAACGCATGTACGCACATACGCACGCTCGCACGCTCGCACGCACGCACGCACGCACGCACGCTAGCACGCACGCTAGCACGCACAAATTGTCAATTAATACAGTTACTTGTAGAAAGAACAAACCTAACTTCGCAACCCCTGACTACTAAGATAGAATGCCTCGTTATATTTAAAAAGGGTATATATGCGGTTCTCTACACTCACCATAGGAAATCGCGGCATTAAGCTGCTATTTAACTCTGTGATCCTTCCCCGGTCAAGCCGACCCATTCGTGCCCACCATAATATAGCTGTAGCAGGGCTCCACCATCTCAGATGAATACGACAAAAACTTTGCAAACTCTATTTTCATATCTCTCTGACATTTAATCGTAATCAGTAACTTTTCTCCTACATTAAAATAAATGTTTCTTTTAAAATGTTTTTAAAATTATATTATAACTAAAACTATACAAAACACATCAATGTTGCGTAATTAGTATTTTACTCAGATATATTATTGAGTCCCCGCTACATTTAATCCGGTCATGGATACACGCCTTACATTCATCAGGGTTTTGCCGATAAAAGAAGAAATAAAATGAAATAAGTACGATTAAGCGCACAAACTCCGCAAATGGAATCATAACAAAAACTGTTTTATAAATCTTTCTTTTATTTACATAGAACGCTCCGAAAAAGTTATATTAGAAAATATTCCAAAGATGCGATATGAATCCTATACTTTATCTGAGTATTTCTTGTAAAGCAGATTTCTCCGAAACAGATCTAATAATTATGATGAAATTTTGTTTTAAAAAAATGTTTTA